GCTTTTTGCTGCCTTTTTCAGGGAGAGGGGGACCCCCTGCCCCGGGTTTTCGGAGGGCTGAGACCCCCCAGCCCGGTCCGTGTGCGAGGTCTGGGCTGGCAGGAGGGGTTTGGCTCCGGAGGTGAGCCCGTCGGAGGAAGAACCGAGCGATCATGCCGTCAGGCACGGCAGTGCTTAGCTGTAACCCGACCCCGTGTTAAAAAGCTTTCCGGAAAAGCTGAAAGTACTTCTTATTTACAGGTTTCCTCTTACAAGACCTGATCTTTGCAAGAAATGGGAAGCTGCTGTTAAAAGGAAAAACTTCAAGCCAACCAAGTATAGCAGCATTTGTTCAGAACACTTTACTCCCGATTGCTTTAAAAGGGAATGCAACAACAAGCTTCTGAAAGAAAATGCTGTGCCCACAATATTTTGTTATACTGAACCCAGTGAAAAGGTAAACCCAAAGCACTCGTAGTTTAAGGTACTGGAATGCACGTGCATGTTGCTCATATCAGCTTAGCAGGGCTTGGTGTAGCAGAGCAGCGGGGAGAAGATGCGGATTGTGAAGGACACTGGCTGAGTAGGTGCACCTGGAGGCTCCTGGAGGGCTGTGGTGGCTGAAACACGTCCAACGGCTGTCCTCATTTGCTTTGACAAGAGCAGAGATGTATGCTGTCCGAGGCTCTGGAGCAGGTAGAGCATTGTACAGAGAGGCAGTAGCTCTGATCTGCGCTTGTGTGCATACGCAGAAGCCTGAGCAGCATAACTTTGGTTAAAACCTTGCGCTGAATTAAATGGAACAGCAGCAAAGCAAGAAAGTATTGCCCTGTAGTTAAGTTGTCGACTGTATTTGTGGCATATTTGGAGTTTTAGAGAGCCTTCAACAGTGCTTGCAAATTGCACTGTACTCTCCCGTGCTGACTGGTGGCTACTGCTAACGTTGAAGAGATGATGTACCTTAGTTCTGAAACGTAACTCTCCTCTCTAAAGGGCTCTGTACTCTGGCTTCGCAGAGTTTACGTGAGGTGCAAACAGAGGGGCAGAAACCTGCAGAGTAGCTGCACCTGCTATCTTTCTGTGCTGAAACCGTCTCTGTCTTGCCTTAACAGTTACCTTGGGTTCATAAGCCAGACTGGTCCCTAACTTCTGTCTCTGAACTTGTGATGGTAGTCTCCTGTGAGATGTATTGTTCTCTCACTGTGCTGCTAAAGCAGCTTACCGTAAGATGCAAATCGGTTCTGAGTTCTTCCTTCCTGATGTAATAATGGCAAGACAAGAACGAAAAAGATTGATTCTTAACTCCTGTTAAGGGTACAAAATACTAGATCTCTTGTCACTCTGCTGTAGAGGAAGGGGCAAAGAGGAGAATGGGTATGATAGGTCTAGGGGGTGAAAGACTGTAATGGGATGAAGTGCACAGAGGAAAACTGGGACTTTGGCTTGTTTGATTTTTCTCTTTATATACAATATTGGATTTGATGGAGAAGTAAAAAGGGAATGTATCTGAAAAATGAAAAGTGGCTAGTAACAGAGAAGAGAATATAAGCAGAAGGTATGTGAGGACAGACAGACAATTTCCAGGTAAATACAGCTGTGTTATGTTTCTTGTTTGATTACACTTCCCTGCTGTCTGTACAACACACATTTTCTTTGTCATGTGTAAAATAGTTGCAGAATTTTTTACAGCCTGAAAGCTGAATGGGTGTATAGGGTGATCTGCAAAAGTGCGATTGGTGCAGCAGGATTAGTGGTGAGCCACATTCCCCATTTCATTATCATGCCTGGATCTACAAAAACACAAAAGAGTGCCTTTTAATTATGGAGAAGGATTTAGTGCTCTTCCTATTTGTCTCACAGCACTTTTAAATGAACTGCCACGTATCTTCAAGAAATAACGTAGTAACAGAGATACCACCACAATAGTGTACAATAGTATACCACCACAATAGTAGCGGTTGTTCTGGAATTGAATCCACACTGATTTTGAAATTTTTATCTTTTGCATTATGTAATTTGAAATACTTTCTTTTTCATTACTTACATCTTCAGAGAATCATTTGTTGGCTGTAAGAAGTAATTAAAATTCGCTTATGATGTGTCAGTGATACCAACGTTCTGTTCTCCGTGATACGTTGTGACAATAGTAATGTATTTATAGAGGTAGCATGTGCTGGATAAGCTGCAAATGGAAGTCTCTGTGTGAATTCAGCTGTCCAGCAATGACCTGATTTTTGCTTGTGCTTCCAACAGGGGTGAATTTCTCTTTGCCAATTGCATCTTTGCCTTTTGATTTTTTAGTACAAGAGTTTGAAAGTGATAGCTGATAGTCAAACTCTAGAATATTCATGTGAGAATTAGATAGGCACACTGTTAGCAGCGATTTCTTATAATTGTGAAAGAAGAGTGGTAGTTGGCTGGTTTTGTACCTTAAAGTGATCAGTAATATTTGCATATGAAACTTCCTTTCAACACCAATCAAAACCGCCTTCTTCAGTTACTGTCTGCCAAGTGTTGTAGTTTGTACAAGAGGGATTATCGAGCCCCCAATATCAATGTTAGCTTGTTTGCATGTTAAGTCAAGGAAGTTAATGACATGACCTTCAGATCTGATGAGCTTGATATTTCGATGATGAGCATTGTCAGCTGCTCTTATAGTCAACATTGTCCCTGTCCTTATGCTTTTATGTGTAGTAATAATATTGGCAACAGGTGGGTAGTTAGAAAATTGGTTCAGTGCCTCTTTCACTGAAAAAGTCTTCGGCTTTCTTTTTGACAGGCAATATGCAAGCTCTTTTGTTTAAACAGTGCTTTTTTTTTATCAACATGTGCACAGAAGCATTTCTGAATTACACTGCATTCCTTTGGGGCAGAAAGAATCTGATTCTCTGCTCTGGCCTATACTCAGGTGGTGAGGGATCCGTGTTGTCCTGAACTGTACAAGTAAACCTATCGAGAGCAGTATGATAAAGACTTCAGTTTCGTGTGGAGTTGAGCCAATCGATATTCTGCTGCTGCCAAAAGGGAGAATCATGCTTCTCCCTTCTCCATCCCATCTGCCAGCCGTGCAGTCCTGTTTCTCACTCCTTCCACACACCAGCACAGGTGTAGGCCATACTTCGTGTTGCATTGCTTTGACTTTTAATAAAGGACAGAAGAATTCTGCAGTGATGGTGGGAGAGCGAATAGCTTTCTGTCATCTTAGCAACTTACTATGTTTGAGCGAAGAGTAAATACCAGGGCTGGGAGGGCTGCTTTGCTCTTGCAGAGCTGTTTATTTTGGCTCATCATGTCTCTTGAAACCAAACCCTTATGCTATAGCCCGAAACCAGTGACACAGTGCCTTCCAGTTGTTGAGAGGCAGGCCTTGCTGTGCCTACCTCTCTGCTCTGCTAGCTTATCAGCCCCCACAGTAGGTGACCCTTATTCTGCCTCAGCAGAAGATTATCTGCTTCTGCTGTGTTTTTGATTAAGTTAGCTGATAGGTTCAAAGTACATAATGGTAAGATGCAGCAGAAAGAAGGAGGGACAAAGGGGAATGGGGTGGCAGTGATGAGTTACTAGGTCAGCTGAACTTTTTAAAGACCTGCAGCCTGTGTTCCTGCTTCTTAGCTAATCGTGGATATGTATTTGACCTAAGTCTTTAAGTGAGAGTAATTGCTACATTCTTCAGTTTTTGATTTATTTGAAACATCAAGGACTTGAGTTTCAAGAGCCCTGAAAACGAAGCTGCTTAAAAATATCTCCAGTTGACAAGCCAGACAAAACAGGCCCAGAACTGTTTGTCAATTTTGAAAATGTAGGCTTTGAAATTTATTTTATTAATTTCAGTCTTGGTTGTTTATGTTATTCTGGGGCTGTAGTAAGGGAGTTGTGTTGTAAACAATGTTAAGCATGAAAACGTACTTTTTTTCTTGTTGTTTGTAGCCTGAAGAATTTGCAGAACAGCCAGAAGATCCACTACCGCCGCCTCCGCCACCGCCGCCACCGCCGCCACCACCACCACCACCACCACCAGCTGCTCCAGCACTACCGCCATCTCCATCAACTCCTTCTTTTCATTTGTCTCAAATAGATGCCAGATTTGTAGATCCAAGTATTGGATTATTGATGCCTCCTCTCCAGACCCCTAGCAATCTTGCTGTTTTTTGTGATCACAACTATACTGTAGAGGATACAGTTCATCAGCGAAAAAGAATTCAGCAGCTGGAGGAACAAGTTGAAAAACTGCGGAAGAAGCTCAAGACAGCACAACAGCGATGCCGGCGTCAGGAAAGACAAATTGAAAAACTGAGGGAGATCGTTCAGTTTCAGAAAGAAAAAGACATATTGGCAGGAAAAGGCTATGTGATTCTGCCCAATGACTATTTTGAAGTTGTAGAAGTACCTGCCTAGAAGTCATGAACACCGGTTTTCACTTTGCTTGGCCAAGAAATTTAGTTTGAAAACTAAATGCTCTCTAATTCTGTGTGTAAGACTCTCCAGAATTCTAAAACAGTAAATAAGCAGTCATACGAATGAGATCACATTTTTTCTTCATTATCGTTTCAGTTTGATACACTTTTAATATATTGAAAATGCAAGCATCTCAGAATTAGAATATGCATCTGGTTTACAAAATCTGAATTGCTTTACAGAAGGAAAGGATGCAAGGTTGAATACATTTTACTTTTTTTTTTTTTTTTTTTTACCATGGCTGTCTTATGCTTACAGGGGATGGGGAACTGAATCTGGCTGAGTGAAGTTGAGGTTGTTGTACACTTAGTGCAAAGCTTTGTCGAGGCGTTTAATGTTGGTTTTGGTGATCCCCAGGAAGTAGTTTTCACTGATTTCAGGAGGAGCAGAATTAGGCCAGTTAAGAACACCTGCAAGTGCTACAGAAAGAGAGAGAAAGATAAGATACACATTTCAGCCTGGGAAAACTTCCAACCTCAGTTTGCTGTGCCTTCAAAGCACTGCAAAAAGTCTAATTCCTGGATCCCTTTGGTGAGGTATGTAAATGAACCTCTTCTTTTGGAATAACCTTTCGCCATGGTGTGTTGTAAGGGAGATGAGGAGAATTCATTAGCGTAGCTGACAAGAGCTGTAGAAGAGGCTTTTGTCTTGAGGGCACATAAAAATACTCCTGAAGTGCAGTGCTGCACTGAACATACATGTTATTGGACTGTTGGCAGGATCAAGAAGGCAGTGTGCTGTTTAGGGTGACTGCTTTTCAAAAGTACCCTGATAATATACAGTCCCCAATATGTTGGAGTGTGACGTTCCCATAAACACTGTAACGGGTAGGAAGTTGTCCTTGTCTTTGAAATTGTTGGTCTTAATTCACATCTCAACTGTGTGTAGCGTCAGGAAATGAAGAACTCTTTTTACTTATCCAGGGTGTCAGGCATTTGTGACTTCTATTGCAGTATACTGTGATTTTTCTTTCCTTTTTTTTTTTTTTTTTTCTTCTTTCCCCTGCCCCCTGAAAGGCATCCACCAAAGGGCAGTTAGGGAATTAGACTTTGGGAGTTGCTTGGTGCTAGACTGGTTTTTAATATCTCAAATGCTGCTGCATCTCCTTCAGCCTTATTGAATTTAGCATGACAAAGTAGCGCAGCAGTTTGCACTTGCTGTCTAATAATTTGTTTAGTCAATGAACTCATTCAAAATCAGAGGAAATGGCATCGTGCTAACCCTATGGTAGCCTTCACAGCTGAAGTTCCTGGATATATTAGACGTGAGGAAAATAACTTTTCTCAGTCCATGTCAGACTTGTGTGTAGTGTGGATTCTAGCTCTGGTATTAATCGAGCCCTGTTCACGATGGCTTTAAAAGCTTCCCTTAATATCTTGTTAGCATGACATTTTGAAATGTTTCGAACCAGTCTTGATACTTCTGACCTCACTCATGCCATGTATCTACTTTCCCTAAAAAAAAAATTTAAGATGAACAAAAATGCTGATGCATCCTTTTGTGTACATTTACTATACCTGATTAAAAATAAAAAGCAAATGGTGTGTTAGATTTTTAACTGCTCTCTCTCCTCTTTTCCCAGGACTTTGCCAAAACTAGCTTGACATTTTGTATCTTTTTTCTGAAGTAGCTCCCTGGTTTAGGTGCTGGGTTTTTCTCACAGTGTTCCCGACTCTTCTTGCTGCTATGCTTTATACTTAAAATAAACTTGAAAATGCTCAAATTCAAAAAGTGACAAGGACAAGACGCTTAAACAACTGTCGGCACGTGTGGCCAGATAGCAGATTGTTTCTGTTTTCTCTGCAAAATACCCTCTCTTCTTACTCTCTGGGAATTTAAAGTGCGACTTCCTGAGGCACAGTGGGTTGCTGCAATACCACACCCCTGTGGTCCGACTGCTCCTGCCATCCCCCTCTTCCCCCCGCCGTTTGGCTGTGTAGTCCTATTTCCACCCTTCTTATTTGAACCGGTTCTGGTGCTGGTTGCGCCCGTCTGTGGGGCAATTCAGCTCACTGAGGCAGCAGGTTTGGCTCATAGTGGAGAGGCAGAGGAAGACCAACGGTATCAGGTCTGATAGGAGAAAAAAGCAGGGCCAGAAGCTGGGGAGGGGGAGAAATAAGTCCTTTCCTCCGGCTGCAATGAGCTGTCGCATTATGTCAGCTGCTTCTGAAAATACAAAGGGAACTTCATACTCTTAACGTTCAGCACTGCTTCCTTCCACCCTGGCCAAAGATCCCCATCTCCCCCCACCGTATGCTCTGGCTGCTGTGCTTGTTGGGCCCTTCCTTCAGGTATTTTAGCTTCATAACCCTCCAGAAAAGCAGCCCAACAAAAGTAAGTCAGCAAGGTAAATTTAAGGCACACTGATTGTTAGAAGTCTGGTGTGTAGAGTCCTTGTGTGTTTAAGCTTTCCATGCTGGTGAAGTTGGTTTAATGGCTGACTCAAGTGAACGTTCCTTCCATTGAGAGGGGTGATTATTGCTTGTCTTGAGGGTTTCAGTAGTACCAGGTTGAAGAGGGGACTGCTGCCCAATTGCCGACGCTTCCTTTCCTATTATCAAAGGATGTTTCTAAGAAGAGATGCAGTCCATTCTGACAACGGGCTTGAATTTCTCCTGCAGCAACTCTTTTTTTTTTTCTTTTTTCCCTTCTTTTAAAAAAAAAACCTTGCTAACTCCTGATGCAGTGATGCTAGGGCTAGGTGTGGACTCTGCTAGGCCCATGATGGCTGGCAATATCTCAGAGCTCTGAAGTGGGGAAAAAAGGCTGGCACGGAAACAGCTGATTGTCTTTCAGCAGTTGACTTTTCCTGCACAGCGCCCTACCCTGCCCTATACTGCGATCTCTCTGATTGATAGCAATATAGAAAGAGAAGATGAAGGCTATCTGCTACTGGCCAGGCTAGGAAAGGAATTCTAGCTTTTCATGTAAAATTAATAAGCACAATATGTTCCCCAAGCATTTGTTAAAGTTTCCTCTTTTTTTAAAGTGGGACCTGTTACATTCACACAATCAGCTGTAAAAAAGGTCTGCATCACTTACTGTTTGTATTGGCCACAACTGGTACCTGCACATAGCAGCAATTTCATAAACATCTCTGAAAAATGTGATTGGGAGTTAAAAAGTGGAGATGGGAATGTAGAATGGCATGTGGTTGTCCAATTGCGCACAAAGTAGCTGACATTTGTTTAAATACACGTAACTGCACTTCACTGAAGCCTATTTTATAAAGCAAACAATTGAAAGAAGTTAGAAAGTAGCAAAATTGGCAAAAATGCTCTGTCCTCAAAATCTGGACAGAGAGATTTGTTTTGAAATGGGCTGATGCTTCCACAGGCAGAAATTAGAGCCTCTAAAAAGAGAAGTGTTGGCTTACTTCCCCCTGTTGCCCCAATTTCCTTTTGGCGTGGTAGGGTATCTGCCTTGTGTGTAGTGTTTACTTTTTTTCTTCCTACAACTCTGCGAAGTGTTAGATTTCCCTGTCTAACTGGGACAGTTCAAACCCAGAGGTATGCTTTATGGGGAAAAAATGAATAGCTGAATACTTGGATTACTGCTTGTCACACCGAGGAAGTCCTTTGTCACTGTGCTTTCTTCTCCTCTGCTTCCAGTTGCCATCTTGTCTATGTTGTTATTAGCGTGGTCTTAACAACTGTGGCAGCAAATTAAGGAAACTGAGATTTCCAAGAAATCTTCTGTCTTGCTGAGATTGCATTTTTCTTCAGCTCTACATAGGGTTTAGGGTACAGGTGCCCTGTGTGAATTTTGAAGGAGTTCTCTTGCAGCTGAAGAAAGTGCAAAGCAAATCCCCATTTGAATGTAGGAAGAAGGAAAGTGAAGTAGTTGCTTGGGTAAAACTAAAACCACAACAGTTTCTCAGTCCATTTCAAAAGGCTTTTCCTATTACATGCTTCGCTGGAACCAGGAAGTTACTCCTAGTTGCCCTTTTGCTTTGTTTCTTTCCCAAGATCTGTTTCAGGTTTTAGTCTATAGGCTTATCTGCTTCCTGTCCGCTTACACCTTCATCAGGTGGCTTTGGCAGGGTGGAAAGGGGTGTTTTGAGCTATTGCCTAATTTTAACAACCAAAACACAATCTGCCAAAGCACGTTGATGCTTGCAGTCTGTCATGACTGCAAGTTCAGGTCTGTAAGTCCTGCTGTTTTAAGCACAGCAGGTTATTTGCCATACTTTACCCATGATAATGATTTATTAATAAATGAGAAACAGCAAAACAGGATACGTGATTCAAAAATATGATGATGACAGTAATTGCTATTACAGATTTCTCTTTGTGCCTGTTCAATGCTTTCAACGGAAATGTTATCTTCTTACAGAGATCTTTTGATGGAACTGCAGCATTTTATTGCACAAATTGGGCAGAAGGCATTACAGTGTTATACAGACTGACGGAGTTTAAACGTGTGCAGAAAAAATGTGTTGCAAAGTTGTTGTTTAATCCACTACGAATAACTTGAAACAGTTCCCAAAGGAAAGTAATCTTAAATATTCTTAAGTCAAAGAAAACATTTAAATCAGTTACTCAGAAGGAAATTTTCAAGAACCTCTCTTGAGAATAGGTACATTACATTGTCATAATTAAATTATTGCAGTAATTAAATCTCTCCACAGTCCCGCCACTATTAGTTCATTTAGCATTGAGTATCAAGCCTTTTCTTGCCTGCTGTGCAAAATGATCTAGTGATCCTCCTGTAGCTGCCTCCTCCCACCGCAGAGGGAAAACAGATTGTAAGGCCTGGGCTCACACATTCCTAGAACCCCTGAAAAAGTGGTTGTCCTCTGCATCTTAATTGGTTCTAGTGGTCTATTAAAAGGTCTTTTAGTTAGGGAGGAGCATGGAGAATACTATGAGGCTAGTTGGGTTGTTTTGGTTTGTTTTTTTTTTAAACTTGGGGAGGACTTGAGTAAATTAGGCAGGCTTCTCATTTCCTTTCAGGTTTCACTGGATGTGACTATTAAAGGTTCAGGGTCTGTGGCTATACTAGTCATCTATAGATGAACCAACTCTTCAGTATTTGAGTCTGTGAAAGACGTGGTTTCCTGTTGGGAGATCTTCAATTCAGTGACCTGGGACAGGTAATCCAGAAAAAGGAGGAGGTCTTGCCTTCAGTAATGGTTTCTTCTTTTCGTCTTGGGCTCATTTACCAGTCCCCAGCCAGAGTCCAATACTCTCTAACCAGGTTCTTATAGATATGCCTGTACCCAGGACTTTGATTTAGCAGAGTGATACAGCAATATACTGAAATTGCATCACAAGCACAGTATAGCAATTGCAGTATACAGCGGAATCACAGTACAAACGTACTGTACAAATTCCCATTACTCGTCTCTAAATGCTCGCCATCATGACACTGTGTCCCCCCAGTTGTCGGGAAGGAATACGTGGGTTACACCCAGCTCAAGCCAGTTGCTCTCTTCCAAGCTGATTTTGTGTGTTGTTCAGTTTTTATACTTTATATTGGGCTGAGTCACATACAGACTCCCCTCCCACACTGGTCTGGCTAGCTCAGGAAAACATTACTCTTGACTAACTATTTCAGGGGAGGCTGTTTATGCAATCTGATGACTGAGTGATACAGCTGTATACCTAAAACAAAGGTTACCATCCAGTCCCCCTTGTGCTGAGATAATTTCAGCTTCCTTTATGACCATTTGTCATTATTCCTTACATTATTCCCTGAGCTCGTCATTCATGCCCATCTCCTCTGGGCCTTCTTCCATTGCAGGGGTCAGTCACACATCCCCATGCCGTCTCTTTTCAGGAGTGTCCTCACACATGTCTTTTGCAGGCAGAAGTGAACTTTTTTGGCTTCAAGTGCTTTACCATCTGGACCTGTGGCTCAGAAAGGAAGAAATTTCCAGGGGTGGTACTTTTTTATGTTAAGAGGAAGGGATCTTGTTCTGGGCTTAAGAAATCCCAGGACTTCCACCTGCACCTTCAGGTTTAGGATAATAACCACGGCAGCTGGCTCTGCAGAGAAGGAAGCTTCAGGACACCCACTTTCAGAGCTCATTCCAGAGTTCTTGCTCTTCTTTGTGGTGTTTTGTTTTTTTTTTTTCTTCTTATTTTCTTGTATTGATAGGACCAGACCCTTCATCAATTCACTGATGTTGATGCTGTCGGGAATGGCACTTGCAGGCAAGGAAAATCTAAAAGGAGAGAGAGTTGTTCCTGAGCTGGCTGTGAGACACCAAGGTGGAGTCTTCTGCTCTCGCTAGAGCACATGCCATGTGAGCTCAGGCCACAGAGGCTGGCCTTACTGATAAATGTTTCCATTTTAATATTTTAAGCTTGATCTGCACTTGCAGGCTTGTCTCATAGGTGTCCTGAGTGGATATGGTGTTTTATCAAGTGATTTTGTGGTGGCGGTTTATCTGAGGGACTGCAGGAGTCACTGCCAGATGAATAAATATTTGTGGTGTTATGTCCAAGGACTGAAAAAGTATTTATTTATCAATAACCTCAAATTCTGTAGTCTGTATGTACATTCAGTTCTTATCTTCATTTCTCTCTTTCTGAGTCCAGACAGGAAAACC